GGAGGTTGTACCAGGGAGGTGGTACCAGGGATACCAGGGAGTGGTGTTGTACCAGGATACCAGGGAGGGTTGTACAGGGAGGGTGTTGTACCAGGGAGGGTGTGTTGTTATACCAGGGAGGGTGTTGTCACCAGGGAGGGAGTGGTACCAGAAGTTGTACCAGGGAGGGTGGGTGTTGTACCAGGGGGGGGTGGTACCAGGGAGTGGTGTTGCACTCAGGAGGGTGTTGTACCAGGGAGGGTGTTGTACCAGGGAGTGGTGTTGTACCAGGAGGGTGTTGTACCAGGGACCAGGGAGGTGTTGTACCAGGGAGGAGTTGTACCCGGAGGGTGTTGTACCAGGGAGGGAGTTGTACCAGGGAGGGTGTTGTACCAGGGAGGGTGTTGTGTACCAGGGAGGGTGTTGTACCAGGAGGTGTTGTACCAGGGAGTGGAGTTGTACCTGGGAGGGTGTTGTACCAGGGAGGGTGTTGTACCAGGAGGGGTGTTGTACCAGGGAGGGTGTTGTACCAGGAGGTGTTGCACCCAGGAGGGTGTTGTACCAGGAGGTGTTGTAGGGTGTTGTACCAGGAGGGTGTTGTACCAGGGAGGTGTTGTACCAGGAGGTAAGCTTGTACCAGGAGGAAGTTGTACCAGGGAGGGTGTTGTACCAGGGAGGGTAACCAGGGAGGTGTTGTACCAGGAGGGTGTTATACCAGGGAGTGTGTTGTACCAGGGGAGGGTGTGTTGTACCAGGGAGGTGTTGTACCAGGGAGGCCATTATACCAGGAGTGGTGTTGTACCAGGAGGGTGTTGTACCAGGAGGGTGTTGTACCAGGAGGGTACCAGGGAGGTGTTGCAAATTACTGAACTACCAGGGAGGTGTTATACCAGGGAGGGTAAGCAATACCAGGGAGTGGTGTTGTACCAGGAGGGTGTTGTACCAGGGAGTGGTGTTGTACCTTGGGAGGGAGGTGTTGTACAGGTACCAGGGAGGGTGTTGTACCAGGGAGGGTGTGTACACCAGGAGGAGAGGGGAGGGAGGGTGTTGTACCAGGGGAGGGTGTTGTTGTACCAGGGAGGGAGTTGTACCAGGGAGGGAGGTTGTTGTACCAGGGAGGGTGTTGTACCAGGAGGGTGTTGTACCTAGGGAGGGTGTTGTCCCAGGGAGGGAGGTTGTACCAGGGAGGGTGTTGTACCAGGGAGGGTGTTGTACCAGGAGGGTGTTGTACCAGGGAGGGTGTTGTACCAGGGGATTGGTGGGTGTACCAGGGGAGGGTGTTGTACCAGGGAGGGTGTGTTGTACCAGGAGGGAGTTGTACTGGGGGTGTATCCCCAGGGAGGGTATATGCCAGAGGTGTTGTACCAGGGATACCAGGGAGGGTGTTGTACCAGGGAGGGTGGAGGGAGTTGTACCAGGGTGGCAAGGAGGGTGTTGTACCAGGGAGGGTGTTGTACCAGGGAGGGGAGCTGTACCAGGGAGGGAGCTTGTAGCCTGGGAGGTGTTGTCCCAGGAGGAGTTGTACCAGGGAGGTGTTGTACCAGGAGGGTGTTGTACCAGGGAGGGTGTTTGTGCACCAGGGAGGAGTTGTACCAGGGAGTGGTGTTGTTGTACCAGGGAGGAGTTGAGGGTGTTGTGTACCAGGAGGTGTTGTACCAGGGAGGGAGTTGTACCTGGGAGGGTGTTGTCCCAGGGAGGGAGTTGTACCAGGAGGGTGTTGTACCAGGAGGGTGTTGTACCAGGAGGTGTTGTACCAGGGAGGGAGTTGTACCAGGGAGGGTGTTGTACCAGGGAGGGTGTTGTACCAGGGAGGAGGTACCTGGAGGTGTCCCAGGGGAGGAGTTGTACCAGGGAGGTGTTGTACCAGGAGTGGTGTTGTACCAGGCACCAGGAGGAGTTGTACCAGGGGAGGGTAAGGTACCAGGAGGGTGTTGTACCAGGGAGGGTGTTGTACCAGGGAGGGTGCTGTACCAGGAGGGAGTGTACCTGGGAAAGTTTCCCAGGAGGGAGTTGTACCAGGGAGGGTGTTGTGACCAGGGAGGGAGGTGTTGTACCAGGGAGGGAGTTGTACCAGGGAGGGTGTTGTACCAGGGGAGGAGGAGTTGTACCAGGGAGTGGTGTTGCTGTACCAGGAGGGTGTTGTACCAGGGAGGGTGGAGGGAGTGTAAGTTGTACCAGGGAGGGTGTTGTACTCAGGAGGGTGTTGTACCAGGGGGTACCAGGGAGGGAGTTGTACCAGGGAGTGGGTGTTACCAGGGAGGGAGTTGGTACCAGGGGAGGAGTTGTACCAGGGAGGGTGTTGTACCAGGAGTGGTGTGGTACCAGGGTGTTGTACCAGGGAGGGAGTTGTACCAGGAGGGTGTTGTACCAGGGAGGTGTTGTGTTGTACCAGGGAGGGAGTTGTACCAGGAGGGTGTTGTACCAGGGAGGTGTTGTACCAGGGAGGGTGTTGTACCAGGGAGGAGTTGTACCAGGGAGGGTGTTGTACCAGGGAGGGTGGGTGGGTACCAGGGGGGGGTGTTGTACCAGGGAGGGTGTTGTACCAGGGAGGGTGTTGTACCAGGGAGGGTGTTGTACCAGGGAGGGTGTTGTACCAGGGAGGGTGTTGTACCAGGGGGAGGGTGTTGTACCAGGGAGGGTTATCTAATATCCAAACGTGACGGATAAGATACACTCTTTCCTGTCGTCGTGGTGAAGGAAACCGACCAATGAGAGAGCCGAGTGACGTAGGCCAGGTAGAGCCAGTGTGCCACAAGTGTAACGATTTCTGCTTCAAGGAGAGACAAGAGCGTAGTTTACGAGGAACGAACTTCACCTTCAGGAGTTTTATGGCCGCCTCACTCAGCTGGTTTGGTCCCTTTTCAATCTCGCAGCTGGTGTAGTGTTCAGGGTCCTAGTTCAAGGCGATGGATGTATTGTATATATTGTAGCGATAATAAGCATCTGGTTTTATAGGGCTCTTTCCTCAGTCTAGTTTTTTCGTGTTTTTTTTCTTCAGATTTATTATTGAGAAGAGCAGGTTTATTCCTCTTAACATAAACAAACCCCTCTGTAGACTTCAACAACTCGTGTACTGTGTCTCACAAGGCCTGGGACGATGTGAAGTGACAAGAATTCTATGGTTGAAAACATTAACACAGTGCCAAGGTCAGTTGCACGTGACTCGCCGACGTTTCCTCTAACATGGATGCCATCACTGCTGGATGTCACACAGTACAGTTGGGTTCTAAACGTCCACACACCGCCATCTTCAGCTCGCTCCTCTCTTCCAGTACCTCTGTCAGCCTTCATGATATTTGGTACCTCCTCTAGCGTTTTGGAATGGATCCACCTCGACCTGTTATGTTGTCAAGGTGTAGCAACAGAGTGGTCATCCTCCACCACTTGCTGATTCTTTGTACTGACTGGCCTCTGTGTTGGTGGAGAGTCCCTCGACGATTGTTTATTGTCTAACCTGATAGAACGTTTCGATGTGGTGAAGGTGAGGGCAGTGATAGCTGAAGCCGAGTACATCGCAGTGGCCTCCATGGATGTGTGTGACAAGGAGGCAGTGTTCCATGTGTCTTTGCCGGTCAAACCTCTCGACTTTCTTGGTAAAATCATCATTGATAATTTCCAGCCCACAAAGGATACAACTCCGTCAGAGAGTGTGGCTCTGCTCTTGAAGAAGGGGGCCAAGAACAACACGTATAAATTCATAGAGGGTTCTTGAGACCCAAGAGGCTGATGTCAAAAGGAAAAATGTCAGAGTTCATCTGGTGTGTGGAGTATCACTTAGTGTCGAAGGACGGTAAAGTAACTCAGATCGTTACCATAATATTTAAAATACTGTTTCTGAGCTTCAAAAAATTAAATACTAGACTTGACACTCTTAGATATAAATAAAACTCACAATCGTTACAGTTTTCTTGAAATTTTATTGTTTATTTAATCATAAGAACAACTAGAACATAAATTTCATAATATACTTTATTATTAACGCTTGTATTATATACTGTATATACTGCAGTAAGGTAGATCCACTTTTAAGTCACTATCGGCCTGAAGCGTTCCACTGATAACGGTGATACTCTGTTTAAAGATCTATCTCAAGTGTTGGCATTAAACTAGTGCCAAAATTTTAAAGATACACAAAAAAAATAAATTGCAGGTAAACTTGCATTTGGTGTTTCTGGGTCATTAAGTTGATAACAGCAGCTAGTCGTGTGTTGCTTTTGCCTCTACGCAGTTCAGAAATGCTGTACCGTATGCAGTTCATAATACTTCTTCTGGCAGACTATTACACAGGTCTACCACCCAGGCCGTAAAAAATTACTTCCTTGGCGCGCTTGAGTCCTCTCGTGATGGTGTGTGACATCACCAAAAATTTTATCTTGAATTAAGTTTCTCATCCTTGTCAAGATTTTGAATTTGTCCGAGATTCGCCCAATTGTATATTATCTGAAGAAGTGTCAGTCTACTTGGATAATCGAGATGATATAATTCAGGAATAATCGCCCGCAAACTTGATAATCTGGCTCTATACATTATCATCAGTATCGTTAATGTCAAAGATAAACAGAGTGGGTCCTAGGAGAGATGCTTATGGTACTCCACTGTCAGCAAGAACCTTTACCCTTCCTGTAAAACGTTGCCAGCAGTCGGATGTAAAGTGCAAGTTAATGGTGCAAGTCAAGGGAAGGATGCAGCTGTCGAACCATTAACACGTGACCCCCTCCGGCCCCCTCCCCCACCATCCAGTAACACGTCACCCCTCCTCCCCCCACCATCCAAACACGTCACCCCTCCCTCCCCCACCACTCAGCAACACGTCACCCCTCCCCACCATCCATTAACACGTCACCCCCTCCCCCACCACCCAGTAACACGTCACCCCCTCCCCACCATCCAGTAACACGTCACTCCCCTCCTCCTCCCCCACCATCCAGTAACACGTCACCCCCCCACCATCCAGTCCCCACCATCCAGTAACACGTCACCCCCCTCCCCCACCACCCAGTAACACGTCACCCCCCTCCCCCACCATCCAGTAACACGTCATCCCCCTCTCTCACAATCCCCCAGGGCCAATTTGTGTGTCTGTGTACCATTGTTGTTGTTCCTTGAGAAGACCAATTAGACTGTTAACAGATCTCTTTCCCACGTAAACATCCAAGTATAGAAACCAGACACTTAAAACCTAACCTAACATAACCTAACCTAACTCTTTCTTGATTATCTCTCCCTGCAGCTCCGATGATGAGGTTGGTACTGGATGATGAAAACTACTGGGGAGATGCAGGGCTCGAGCGGGGACGCGGTGGTGTAGGGGTACCAAATGTCGCAAAGGGTGACGGTACTACAGAGGGATACGGTACTACAGAGGGATACGGTACTACAGAGGGAGACGGTACTACACAGATTATAAAAAGCGAAAATATCGTAAAAAAACAGAAGCCAAACATCTTAAAAAATCGCTAAATCTAGCGACAAAAGTAGCTAAATTGGCAATACTGTCTGACCATTACATCTGCCTTGGGTTGGGTACCGCTGTATGACCGTTCACCTCTAACTCTTCCTGTAGCAGAAGGTGACAAGACTATCATATAAAATGTGAGGATCCGACACAGGCTATTGGCCTCTTTTGGTATGGTGGGTTGGGGTAGGTTTTTGGTACAAAATGTGTTGCCAGCTGTTTTTAAAGGTCTCTGATCCCCAGCAGATGGCAGCACACGTAGTAACCCCGCGTCCCCATTGGTCGACGCCTCTGAGGCTTGTTTCAAAACACTGTTGTAAACAACCATTAAGGCGGGAAGAGAGTGTTGCCTTATTAATGGGTTGATTTGACCGAATTAAGGTTGGTGAAATGACAATTTTGTTTTGTTTTTATGTATTTGATTATATAAATAGGTACTAATGAGTAAGTGGCTGGATAACTTTGATATATTCCTTCTATAAGAGGCTGTAGTGGACCCTACAAGGCCTTGTTAAATTTACACTACTCGATGATGTATTTCATTTGTTCATACAATTATAATTTATGTGCAAAATTTAAAACACACTGTTGTCGGGATTTAACATATAGCAGAAGGATTGATTAAAACTATTTTGGTGGTGGTTGGAAGAGGTGATTTGATACAAGAATAAGCTCTGCAAGGAAGACTGGGGGGAGCCTGGAATAAACTTGATAACTATAGCATTGCAGCAAATTACACATGTGTGAAGCTATGTTGAGTTAGGTGTAATAATTTAGGAAAAAAAAATCAAATATAATAATAGCAGTCCTGTTTTTGAACAAATGAGAAGCGTAGAGGTCAGACAAGTGTTGAAGGAAATCAAGTTGGATGGACTCCCTGGTTCCCTTTGAGCACTTTCCTCAGTGGGCACTACTTTACTGTACTTGGATATATATGTGCAATATCTGGAAAACAGTGGACATTATGTCATGAACTGGCTTTTAATACAAGCTGGCTATTTTGTTGTGAAGTTCTTAAAATGAACCAACTAATCCTAACCCAACCTACCTAACCAAACATTACGTGATTATATTCAAGAAGCATCAGTATAAGTATAAATAATAAAACAAAATTAATTTCCAGATGGAATTGTTTGACTTTGTTATTCCTCTGAGTTTAGATTCTCTGCAGGAAGCAACGTCCACCAAGCAGTATGTGGTTACCAACATATCAATCGGTCGAGAAGTACCAAAAAAGATCCAAGGTGAGTTGATAATAATTATTTTACATTATTAGCATGTCTACAATGGAAGTAACTTCTATCAGATCAGTTGAAATTACCCTTCAGTATTTCCTTGTACTACTCAGGTTATTAGTGAACTTTTAAGTCAGTTTAGTCATACGGTTTAGTGACCTTTATTCCTTATTTGAATCAATATATGTTTTGTGCAATAAAGGGTGTGCTTGTTCTGAGAATCCCTCTTACAGTACAACACTTCAACATTCTTTAATTTTTTCATATATTCTGTATACCTATATTTTCCTCATATAATTCTATGTTTTTCAGAAGCACATGTCTTGTTCAGGCAAGATGGACCCAAATTCATTATTAGAGAGCAGTGCTTTGATGCTTTTTATAGTGTCCTTGTCAACTTTGCTTCTGTTGATCAAGAGTTCAAGCACCGCTCATGGGATATACTCGTTAAAGGTTAGTAAAAAAGTAAATGGTGTTTTTGGATACATCCAACATAATGTGGTTTATGCTACAGTACAGTGAACCTTATTGGGTTTCTTCTTAATAATATCTCGTGCATCATTTGAAACAATCATAAAACTTTTGAAATGATTGAAGAATTGGGATTGCAAGGATTTATTTTTATTTTTTGTATTTTTTTGTATTTTTATAGTTTTACACTTGAATTGGAGAAGATGGTTTGGTTAAAAAATTTTAAACATAAAATGAACTGGGACAAATCAGCTACCGTAAGTACAATTGTAAAATCTTTTCACTGAGACATTCCTTTGCCAAAGACTGAAGGTATTTGAAGTGGTGGAAGTTATATGATGCAGGAACAGCTCTCTGGGCCAAATATTTCCATAGAGTACTAGTTCAAGGTATTAATTAGTTTGGGTTGCCAGAGGCTCTGTGAAATAATGTTTAAACAGGAAACTCATGGGTTCTCCCAGATGTCCATGTAGGTTGATTGTAGGTACTTGGTTGTGTCTTTGTTGACTGTAGCTCACCAGAACACTTGACTATGAAGGTACTGTAACTGTAGAATATGTATAAAAAAAATGAACTTTGCAAAGAGGCTAATTTTCTTCTTTAGTTATGATTCTGATGAGATAGGGACACATGCATTTCATTCAGTGTGACTGTTTACATAATTATGTCCTTGTGTGAACTCAGTAATGACCAGCATGTCACATATTATTTTGGCAGAAATACTGTATACTGTAACAGAATATAACCTCCATTTTGTACTCCTTAGCCATGGCAAAAATGACTGCAGAACTTGCACTGGTGCTTGATGAGCGAGATATGTCTAGCAGTGAGAAGCTCCGCTGGTTGAATATTCTAAAGATGAACACTTATTTAGCCTGTAACCTCACCGAGGCTTTTGAAAATGACTACAACAAGCCAACCACAGACACACTGTTACTTGGCAAGGTAGGCAATAATTAAATGGAAAATATTTAAGAAAGTAGTCAGTGTTTATATCCTGTTAATTCTTCCCACTGCTGCATGCCTTCTATCCTAAGGGTTGTTTATTTTCTATTTTTAATTTCTTTTTACTCTTATTTTTTCGCTCCCTAGACCGCGTTGTGGGTCAATGACCTGTGCCCGGGTGGGCACAGGACCTACTTTCACTTTACAAATACAATAGTTGATTAGTCAATCCATATGGTATTGGCTACACATTAAGAGGTGTTAAATTACACTTTTCAGTTATTAGTGGTGAATGTGAAGATAGGTAAAATGTTTATGAAATCTTCTATGTGTTTGTATGAAGGGTGAGATACCTGTACTGTATATAGTTATCAACCAGTGTTGATTGATTGGTTTTTCTTCCTTTATATTTCATTTGAAAGACAATGAGATTTATTACATGTACTGTACTACAGTTTTGGTTATACAGTATAGATGTTAACTTTATATGATACAATTGTATGTTACAAAATGTTGCTCATTTTTTTATGCCTCATCCTGTAGTTTAATATTCAGGAAAACTGTAATAAATTTTGTGTTGGTGAAGTCAATAAATATACTATCTGTCTATTTTTGAATTGACAGTTTTATCTGATGGAAATCTTTGGGGGCAATGATTTTGAAGAGGAATACAGGTACCATACTGTACAGTGGCAGAACACTTCTTGTACTTCAGCTTGGAAAAAATGAATGAATGCAAATAATAAAGAGTTTTTGTTGTTCTTGATTTCAGTCTTTGTGCACTTTTGTGGGAAAACTTCACAGGAGTGGGATAAAATTTAGTTTATAAAGAGTATTGTATATCTGTGCACTTGCGATATTTGTAAGAAAATATAATATATTTTTAAAATTTTCAGGGGCGTAAGAAGACGGCAAAAAATTCAGAGACTGGTACAGACTGGGAAGAAGAGAGAACTCGCATGTTAGTACAGCTCTTCTCTGTTCTGCAGTATCCATTGCAACGTTTGTGGGACCCACCTGTCATAGAGGAAGATTTTGTGAAGTGAGTTATTTATTAAGCTTTACAGTGGAGTCGCAGTAAACAGATTGTTCATTATTAATTACAATGTAAATAACAGAAATAATTAGTTAGGCATGAAGAAGTAATGACCTGTTTATATAAAAAAAGAACTAAATAAATAAAACTAAACTTAAAGTTATGATGATGCACAATTTCAATGAGACTGATGATGGATGTTACTACATATCCACATTGTATCCACTACAGATCCACTTTATCTCCACTACACACCCACATAGTCATTAAGGCTTATATAATAGTCACAGATTTTATGATTTCATATACAGTATCATAGTAGGTTGATGACATGTAAAACATTGATTTTATCACTAGTCTCAATTACTCCATCACTTCACCTTTGTGGAATCTGTCTTACAGATTGGGATGCTTCCTCTTACTCAGGAACTTGTTAAATCACTTTTGTTTTCTTCTAGATATGGCTGGATATAAAAAGATAGCAAAATATGCTTAGTTAAAATTTAATAAGCTCATAAATACCATGTGATTTTCCATATTAATTCTTTCACAGTTTAATTGCCAACTGCTGTTACAAGATCATTGAATCTCCGAGTATGAACTTGGCACGCACCAAACCCACACGTGATTCCATCTTTCAAATAATTGGTACGCTGATCAACAAGTTTAACCATGGTCTTGCTTGCGCCCTCAAACTTATGCAGGTTTGTAAAGATACTAAAGTGTTAACAGCTACAAACTTAGTGTAAAGAATAGAAATGAGTTACTAGCCTTTGGTATTGGACATCACTTGCCTTATTTTTACTCCTGCCCTGAAGCAGATCTTGTGATCATTTTGTTTACATTGATATGTAAGAAAATGTCTTAAAGTGTAGGGAGAATGATTCTGATGAAACTTGTTAGTGTATTGAGAGTTAATCAAGAGAGGAATAGCTGAATTTTTACTTTGAGGTATTACTAACCGTAGATCATTGATCTGTCCCCAAAATAAATACCAGTACAGAGTAGTTCTTTTTGGACTAACAGTCATTTTTTTCGAGCCTCAGTATTGACTTTGTCACTATGGGAGACATACATGCTTTGACCTTGTGATCCCCTCAACCCTATCATGCCTCCAGTACTGCTAAAAAGCAGACTTAACTTGTGTTTCTTTATGCTAATGCACCACATTGCAGCTACTATGAATTTCAATGCAGTCCTTGTTATAATTACTCTTATTTTGCCCTCATTAACATTCACTGTCCACACAATAAAACTCCTTAAGGGTGGTTTTTTTTTTTTTCCAATAAGCCATTAATTATTATTATTACACACACATGTTTCTGCTAATGTTTATATCAGATGAAATTATAATCTTCCCCTACAGTTGCTTCAACACTTTGAGCATATGGTGACTCCAGCTGCTCAGGGAGTAATTCTTCTAGTTGAGTCCTTTGGCATAAAATCAGTGGTGGCTGAACTAGTACGGGAAATATGCAAAGTGGATGTTAGAGATTTGGTGAAGGATACCTCAGGCCTTCGCAACTTTACTCAGTTTCTTGTAGAGGTTGCTGATAAATGCCCTCAGGTGGTTATGCCATCACTTAGCCTGTTAATTAATTTTCTGGATGAAGAGGTGAGTAAGAATGTGGCTTGTTATCTCTTTTTGATGCTTTGCTCACTTGTTTGTAATATCCATTCATAATAATGCTCACTCTCCACATACTAATTATAGTGTCCTTTAGTCCAGCAATGATATTTGGTAAAAACAGTTTTGTATATAGTGTTAATATTATACAGGTACAGTATATGCTAATATATCTCACTCCTTTCTGCTTGTAGGCAAATACTATGCGGAGTTGTGTGTTGTCTATCCTTGGGTCTGTTGTCTTGAAAGCACTTAGTATAGTAGACCTGGATGACAAGAACAAAGGTCTGCGAGATCAGTGCCTGGACCACCTAGAAGACCACATTCATGATGTCAATGCCTTTGTCCGCACCAAAGTAAGTGGATAATACTGTAGTGATAGCTATTTCATTGTAGATACTGTATACAGTGGTCCCTCGGTTAACGAAAAGGTTCGATTAGCAAAATTTCGGTTAACGAATTACCTCCCGTAAGGATCTTCAATTCGGTTAACGAACAAAACTTCGATTAACGAAATCCTTACGAACAACACGTTTTGTTGTGAGCATCAGCTGATCGGCTAGTCTGCCAATTCAGTAATCTGTTCATGTTTACATTCGTTTCCAGTGGAGTAAATATCAAGAAAGTTGTGCTCTTTAATATTTTTGCATCTTTTATCTTAAGATTATTAGTCATTTTAAAATTTTGTTAACATATTGATATTATATGCAGTACAGGGAGCTAGTTTTTTGTGCGCCCATCAGCCACTTGACTTACCCACTAGGCGTCAGTTTGGCTTTGTTTACAGTGGAGTGAACATCGATTTTGTTGGTCTTGAATATTTTTGCATTTTTACATTAAAATTATTGGTCATTCTGAAATTTAGTTAAAATATTGATAATATATAGCACAATGCAGTGTTGATTTAGATAAAATAATCTTAAATTACACCTAGTGAACAAAAAAATTTATTGGTGAAATGACTGCATCAAGCATGGGTCCCCTGAAAGGTGATTTCTCCTCCCTCCCCACTTTCTTCTCTTCTCCCTTCTCCTCCACCCCCACTTCTAATTCCCATCATCATTATCAACCAGGAACCTTCTGCATACACACCTCAAAGTAAGTGTACTTTAAGCATTTTTTTTTTTACTTTGTATGTACTTTTCTGTGAGCTGGGACCAATTACCCAATATCCCATTGAAACAATGGATACGGTTAACGAAATTTTCGGTTTACGAACGACTCTTTGGAACGAATTGTGTTCGTTAACCGAGGGACCACTGTACTGTATTCCTTTTTGTCACAACCTTTTAAGTACAGGTAACTCAGAAATTGTGAAAATTTGAGAAGTATATGTTCAGTTTTTTTAGCATACACTTTGAGTTTCAGGTGATACTATATACAGTATTTTATTGTAAGAATAAATTAAAGCAATTGTCATATATCCACTCTCAATTTTAAACATACATATGAGTAATGGTTTCATCTTGTGCAGAATAATGTCTTTAATTTTAGTGCAAATTATTGAAGACTATTAGCTTAAGGAAGTTCCTGGCTTGGAAGGAAGCCTATGAGAGGGAGCTTTTTTATCAAAGCTGGAAGACTTAGCTTTTTGAATGAGAAAGCTAAAGTGCTGTTTACATATTGACACACTGAATATGGGATCCACCAGTTTCATTGCACTTTTAGTGTACAGTCCACATAGTAATACAGTACAGGGGTACTAATTGTTGATGAACAGGTTAAGACCATTGTAAATTACCGAAGACTGTTTTAGTTGAAAAAAGTATACATCTTGCAGTCAGGCAAACTACAGTGACAGCTCTTTATACTGGAACTTATCCTATTGCAGGCTATCCCATATGATAATTAATCTAGTAAAGTAACATATTGCTACACAGCAACAATAAGATTGAATGAATTACACAAATAAAAAGAGAACTGTACTATATGTGTGTGCTCCTTTTCTTGGCCATTTTGCATTATACGGTACTGTACTGGGAAATGGTTCAGAAAAGTGAAAAATACACTATTTTCTTGTTTGTTCTTACTTTATTTTTCATGCAGGTTCTTCAAATATGGAATGAATTAATAACAGAAAAGTCAGTTCCTTTACGGAGACAGCACCACGTACTGAAGCTGGTACTGGGACGCTTACAGGACAAGTCCTCTACTGTACGAAAAAATGCAGTGCAGTTATTGACAGCATTTGTCAAAGGAAACCCATTTGCTGCAAAGGTAAGTTATTCAAACCTTAAAATTTTCATAGCTAAAGGTGTTTGACCCATCTGCTGTGGCTTGTGGTAAATTTGTTATGCACCATATGCACAATTTTCATAAAAATTTTCTTAAAAAACGTGTATATTAATCCTAGAGAATTAAAAATATTCACTCAGGTTAATGGGAAATAAAAGAATAGATCATTTATCTGGTTTTGTTTAGCTGTGGTGAAGAGCTCCTGTACTACATGAAGTGGATGGTTCTGGGTCATTAGGAGATGAAGACAAACATACTTCTTTCATGACGAATATATATGAACTGAAGCATGGCTAGGAGTGTAAATGGAACCTAGATTCCTATGGGACTCAAAACTTGCAGACAGATAACCAAAAAATCCCTACAATTCTTCAGTATTTAATCTATCATATTTATATTGTGATATTTTAAGGGATAATAACATTTCTGTGTTAATATCTGATAATTTCTGCACTTGGAGAAGGAAAAATTGGATTGTGAAAAAGAAAAAGAGTAAAAAATTTCAGACATCCTCTGCCTCGCTGAGTAACGTCAGGCAGTGAGAATGGGTTTACATCACCGGTGTATTTCACAAGCTAATTTTGATAAATAACCCGAGGGAACTGTATGAGTAAAGTGTAGAGGAAAACATTAAAGTTAAGTTGGGATGATAAGAGGAGGTGATATGGTATAACATTTCAATTCTTATCTCTCTATTCCTGGTTTCTCTTGTGGTTTTATGTAATTCTCATGATATCATTTCTACCTGTTGTAACATTTAAAAATAGCTTTTTCTGATTTTAATTTTCTTCTCTCACTGACTTGTTTACACTCTTGTTTACCAGAATCAAGAGCAACACTTCTGTCATGTGTGATTCCTTGCTTCTGATCACCTTTATGTTCATGAGGTGTAAGTTATTTATGAATGTATAAAATTTATTTCAGTTGCCCCTAGCAGATCTAGAATCTCAGTATGAGCAGGAGTTAAAGCAGCTTCAAGAAATGGTTCCTGGCGTTACCTTTGACTCTTCAGGGGAGATGACGTCACCAGTGGAGAAGACAGTTACTTCTCGTGAATTATGGAGTGCAATCCTACCTGAAGTAGTTGCTGTAATTCTTGAAATTGTGAATGAAGGTTTGTTACTATTTTGTCTAGATAGTTGCATAAGCTTTGCTTTTCAAGCAATATGTATATTGTACAGTATGCCTAGTTGAAGCTGTAGCATGTTGATTATACACAGTTATTATACAAGGTAGATGTTGGACACTACAGTACTTGTATCAAGAAGATGCTTGTTAATTTTTTTGTCAGTGACATGCTGTACCATTACCTTGTGTGTGGAAATAAATTGTATTTCTCACAAGAATAGCAAAGGAAGAATTAAGAAGAGAAGGGAAGCTCAAGAGAAAAGTGGAAATTTAGTCTGTTTTTCACGATTATGTAACGTGATTTACTTTATAATCACGGTTTCATTATGAGAAGACAAGTTTGTTTATGACGAAGGCCGAGTTGGTAAGGCATTTTGTGTCTTACAGATAGAACAGATGAAGATGATGATGATGAGGACTGCCTGGAGGAAGGTATATCTCTTAATGAGGCTGTGTCTGAGGTAGCCATGGCACTCAAATCTAATAAGATCCACCGTGCAGTGAAGCTTCTGGAAGGTGCACTTGAAACTTTCCATGGATGTGAAATATTTGGGTAAGGGCAGATATTGTGTGTGTGGTAGTTGGGTATCAGTTTATAAAATTCCTAATACAGAACTTGATGCATGGATGTTTTAATTTGAAGATAATGTAAAAAAATATACAAAAGGTTTAGTCAGAGACATACATTCTCTGGTAAAAAAAAGTTTATTTGCCACAGTGAATTGTTCTGGTTTGAAGTACAGTATGAGATCAGTAATATCTCTCTCCCTCCCTCCCAAGTTAAGGATAAAGTTCAGGAAGGTGTACAGTATTTATTTGGTTACCTCAAAGAAAAAATACCTTATTATTATGATTAAGTTGAAATTGGTAATTTACTTGGATGTATGGTAAGGGTGGGAGGTAGAATAGTGATAGCATATACAGTATGAAGAGAATGCATATAGGCTTTAAAGTGACGGAGAAGGGTACCAATGGAATGACAAGGAATACGAATAACTGTAAGAATTATAGGGCAATGAGCCTTTCAAGTACTGTTTATAGTCTCGGGGAAAATGTTTGGTGCAGTAGTTATTACGAGAGTCAGAAAGCTTAAAAAAGGGAGATCAGCGCAGGGTTAAGAAGAAGGAGCATTATGTATTGCTTTGAAAAAATTTGTCTTCTTCCTTCTCTGTTTGTGACTCAGGTATGACCCAAATGAGAACTATAAAGCCATGTATGAAAAGGTCACGGATGATGAGCTGAATGAATATCAAACCCGCCACCTCGTAGTCTTGAGGCGCATTTTTACGGCAGCCGAAGAAATGGAAAGAAAGAAGAAAGAATCTGAAAATGGTGAGGAGACAGTGGATGTAGATGAAGAAAATAAGGAAGAAGTTGAAGAAACAGAGAAAGAAAAGGAGAAAAAAGCTGAAATAACAAAACAGAAACTTCTTGTATTATATCTGAAGGTAAGTCTTCTCTACATTTGTGTCTTCTTAATGTTAGGGCCAGCTTGAATTCACCCAGTAAACAGCCAAAATGGTGTGTCTACTCTGTGAGTGCTTTAACAGTTGGCACCATTTATGATGCTTGCTATAATTATTATTAGTGTTGTTATTATTATTATTTTTTTTTTAGTTGTCTCTGTCTTGCTATCGTGGGTCCAAATTTGTTCTTTTTGACGCAAATTTTCGCCTGTTTTCATCTTTTTATCCTCATGACTGTAATTATCTTCATATTTTCTCTTAAATTGATAGACTTATCCATTATAACTTTTTATGGTACAGATTTAGTATCTTTTTCACTGGAATCTTTGCATTTCAAACCTCCATAAACTTCCTTGAGGAAAGTCACAATTTATACTGGCAGTACACTATAGGCAATGTAGCGCCTCACAGAAGATTCATCAACACATGAACTAACGTGAAATGTATGGTTGCCTTGCTACCTGTGAACAGACAAAACATCTGTAAAGCAGTGACTGTTATATTCCTCACGCTTGTGTCATTCCAGACATTATAGTATCAAATACTGTCAGATTACAGCACTCCTCTGCAATTGGTATTATGGCTTTTCTAAAGAAAACAAAGACTTTGTTAACATAAATAATTCCTGAGACTAAATGTAATCAACACTCATCATTAAATTTTGGCAGAGTTTGTTGTGTTGGTTAATACTACTGTTGCCTCACTCTCACTGCATATCCTTCTGTATCACTTGTATTTTCACATCCAATCTAAAGATTTTCTTGGTCACCTTTGCTGCTTTATCAAGACAAACTGTCGTCTGTTTTCCATACATGATGTGCCTAAAATTTCTGCCTAACACATGTAGGAGATTGTAAAAAGGAGAGCGTTTAGAGAATGAACCAACATGATTTTGGCCCTGATTGGCTTAGAGGATGTAAACAAATATGGTTGTGGACATGTTCATTGGTTCTTTTATGTTTGGTGGATGTTTTCTTTAATTTTTGGCTTTTTAGTGGTACATATACAACATACTTTCTACCGCACCTGTACAGTATACATTAGTGAGATCTAATCACTGTAAATCAATTTCACCTCAATAGTATCTGTGAGAGCCAAACATTATACATGCATCAATGTCACTGATAAAGGTCCAGTATTTGTACAGTGTTATATCCCTGCAATTAACAAACTTTTTATCGTTTTAACAGGACTCTGTTGGCTTTGCAAAATTGATTCACAAAGGGCTCCCAGTTGTGTGCCAGTTGCTGGGCAGCAAGCTTGTCTCTGATGTCTTGGAAGCTGTATCATTTTTTGTCACAGGTAAGCAAAAGTGAAAGTAAAGAGTTAGTGGGGTCATCTTGCTAGTGTAGGTTACCCAGTGCCTTAATCATATTTACATGGTGCTTTAATAAGGCCTCCTGTCAGCCTATACAGTACTGCATTATGGACGGTTCACCTAGAGCTTATAACTTTTGATATTCATTGTTTTTATTATCATTGCTGCTCTCTGATCAAATGCAAAAGTGGGTCACAGGCCTAATGACATATTAGGGACTGCAGATACAGCTCTTGCAGTTCTTTATGACTGGAACTGCCCCTGACCACTTTCACTTCCCCAACTTTAAAGTTAGGTATCCATTCACATCTTGAAGGACTGGGGATGCCCTAAACATGAACTAGTGACCCTTTGGGTGTGGGGCAAATATTATTTCCATTTGTCTGCCACACTCGGCATAACATTCGAATTTAGAGTATCTTTTGGTTAATGAGGTGAGTGGTTTAAGACAATTTATAATTTTGAGTGCATTACTAAGTTCCTTAATTTTTTGTTATTCTTCTTAGTGGCTTGTATATGTGTTTTCCCCAAGGCCAAACACATGACCAATTGCTGAGGCAGGCACCCCTGCCTTCATCAGCTCATCTCAACTTTTCTAACTTTGTTTCTTATGCTTCACTGATGGATAAATAGAGGAATTAGCAGATGCACTCAAAAGTTGCGTAGATGATATGGCACCAATCAACATTAATGGCAAGTCCACGCGCCCTACAAGATGAGTTGAGAGTAGCGTAAGTTTGCAAACAACAATACGTAGATGATGTGACACTAAGTGAGGGCGTGCACAAGCTGTCTCTCATGGCTGCTCACTGCCTAACCCGCTCCCATAAGGCCTTAGTCACATGATTGTGAATTTTTCTCACATAAAACAAGAGAGTAAAAGAAATAGATTCTTCTCATTAAGTGAAGTCACATTCAGTGAAGGACACCACCTGTACTTCCCTGAGATTGCAACTGACACTTTTATATGTTTCTTCATTAATGTAATGATTATAAAAATCTAGTTATTAATGATTCCTGGAAAGTAGGAGAATAGATTATTTAATTTATTTACAGCCTTTGAGTTTGGTCTTCTGAATGCCATGACTGGGGTTCGACGAATGCTGGCCTTGGTGTGGAGCAAGGAGCCGAGTATCAAGTCCGCTGTGGTTGAGGCTTATCAGCGTCTTTACATTAATATTGAAGCTGCCAATGAAAGGTAAGATGAAATATCACTCTCTGTTTCTCCTAAACTGGGAATGGAAAAATAGAATATAGAAGTAGATTATTGCAATGAAGAAGAGTTGAAAGTTTCCTGTGGGCCCTAGTGAATGAAAAAAAAAGTAGAAAATGTGCCACAAACCTTAAAGGGGGTCAATGTTTCAACCCTTTTGTTTGGGTGGGAGTTAAAGTTTCCAAAGTAATGAGAAGAGTAGAAATGAATGGCGTCCTCTTGGACTTTAAATTTTTTTCAACATATTAAAATAGATTGGGATCAGGCAAAACTGTTAAATAATTGATGATCCAATTCAAAGAAAATCCCCACTTCTGTTAAAAGAATAGTAGGCACTTGAATGGAGTATGAACTGTGAATCAATGATTTACTCAACTGTGTAAGAATTTGAAAAGCAATTTAATCAATTTCTTCCTTTCTAGAGCACAGGCCCTACAAATAGTTAAAAATTTGTCTTCACTCATTACTGGAGCTACTCTGGGTGAACGTACGTCAATGGAAGAGATTATATCTCAGTTTGTGAACTCGGGTAAGTCTGATCCGTTAAAATTTGCCAGGTGATGAACACTAGAATTATTGTTTTTAACCTATTGGTAGATTAATTAGTCTCTTGCTTATAGTAAGGGTAGGGTCCAGAGAGACTATGAGGGGAATGTAGGGGAGATTTAGAGTGTGGAGAAACTATACCAGTGGATAAAATTAACAGCAGAGCACAGGGTTAAGAAAACTTTACTTACCAAAATGCTGTTACTGAATGAATCTCAAAGTTTGTGTAGTAGAAGAGGGCTACTACTGAGTGTGAACAAAAGTGGCTCAAATGAAATAGAGAGAATATGGAGTTAAGAAATAAAACGTGGAAGTAAGAGAAGTGTCAGGCAGAGAGTGAATCAAGGTGTAGTAGGAACATATTGGAGGAATGGGAAGTGAATGATTGGTAAAAGAGTACTTTTCAGAGGGAGAAGGTAAGATCAAGAAAAAGGTGGAAATATGCACCTGAAATAGGGAGGGTGGACATCTAAGAAGAAACAAGTGTGTGTGTGAGCGAGTAAAGAGTGACATGGAGTGGTTTTATTTTATTTAGCAAGTGTGTTTGGTTTGGTAGAGTGGAACAGCTCATTAAGGAGAGGATGGGTGAGGGGATAAGGGGAACAAAGTGGACAAAGGCGGTATTGTAGAGTTACCTGGAGGTTTAATTGAATTTTTGATTAATATTTTGGGAATCTGGAACATAACTCTCTTTTCACTATAGGCACAAATGATATACAATCCACAGGGCCTGTAGGAATGTAAACCTCACAGAATAGATGGGAAATAATATATATTGTCTTATTTACAAAAAAACCTTTCTTACAGGTGATATCACTAAAGAGTGTGTGACACTACTCTGGGAGCGCTTTACAAAGACCTTACCTGACACTACTGATGATGATGCTCAATCAGCACTTGTACTCCTTGCTATGTGTGCAAAGTAGGTTTCTTTATTCTTCATATCAAACAACCAGTAAAAATTATGACAATTATATTGGGATTATTGTTACTTATGTGTGACTGTAAATTAAGATATTTATGTTAGAACATTTCTTAGGCCACAATTTGTTTTATACTTATGTGCTTATCATTAGAGATATTTTAAGAAATACTGTATATATTGCTTCAGTGGTTTATAATTATACTCCTGTCAAGGAATCGGAATTGCATACAGTAATCTTGGACAAAAAACGTGTTATGAAATCAATGTTACACATAGTAGCTACCATTTCTTCCAGCTTATAAGGTTCACAATAATGGCTCATGATGTATTTATACAAAACCCTGTACTGTACATTGATTTGTAGTTGACAGTCATGTATTTTCTTTTCAGCTCAGAAGTTAGCATCATCACCAGTAACATAAATGTCTTGCTGAACTCTGGTTTAGGGGAGCGAGGCGAGCGAGATTTTCTACTGGTGAAGGAGACTTGTACTGCATTGCTCAAACTGGCTGTCACTAAACCTAAGACAGACTCACGTACTGCACCAAACCTAAGACAGACTCACGTACTGCACCATTTCGGTAAAGCCATCCAGTATTCTTATGACCTTTTTATCAGAAATGTTTGTTTATAGAATAACATTTTTATCTTTTCCACAATTTTTGAGGTGGTATTGCCTAGATATGAAGAATTTTTTAAGCCATCAACATAATCTGCTTTTGAATTTGAATTTTCTATGTTCCAGATAAGTTTATGGTTAGAATAGAATATTGATTGAATTTTATGGCATGGTGGAATTAGTGAAGAAAGGTTTGTTGAGATGCTATTGGCTATGAGCAGGATGTAGGTGTACAGGGTTTGGTAGTAGCAGTAGTGGGGCAGATACCTTGAGTAAAGTGATATTGCCAACATCATGGGAGGGAAAGGTGTAAAAAATATATTAAGGAGAGAATGGGAGAGGGGATACAGAGAGTCATAGGTCAGCTTGGAAGTCAGTCCTGTAATATTCTTCACAACCTTAGTATGATTGACTTACTTTTTTCTTTGTTATGGTCACATCAAAGGTTACAGATCTAAATTTTGGATACACTGTAACCACAATTTGGATATTGTCTGTTTTATTGTACTCGTGTTGATACATGTTGATTAATTTTTGTCATTCACTTGCAGGTTGGAAAGTGACCATGAAATTTTTGAGCGGCTCAGCAAGATCCTTGTCAGTGGCTTAACAATTCTTCTTGACCGCCAATATTCTCCTATGGCTGTAGAGGCTGTATCAACTATATACTCAGTAAGTTCTTCACCGGCTGTTTATGAAATTTTAATCGCCTGATTTTTGTTATAGTCTGTAGCTACTGTTACAGCACTATTGGGGTGCAGTTGTCAAGTGGGTACAGCACTTCCCTCCAGACCTAAAGGTCATTAGTTCATGCCCAGGGCACCCCCAGTTCACCTAGCTGTGAATGGGTACCTAACTTTACAATTAGGGAAAGTAAAGTAAAGTTGTTTCAGTGTAGTGCCAGCCACATTACTTCCTTGTTTAAAAAAGAAAAAAGAAAAAAAAAAGCCTAGTATAGTTTATGTTGAATCTGCCCTGCCACTGATGGAACCCATTTTAAAATTTATGGTAGTAATAGTGAATGATTGAGAACAGTTGAAAGGAGATTGTGTGCTTGCACTTAATTCTGTTTATTTAAATGATCTATAAAAAAAGGTTGTTTCTGGTGTTTGGTAGCTGCCTATCTTATTTCTTTACTTATGTCACTGTCACTATGCTTGGGAGGGTCATCATAGTCTCCTGAATCAGATATAATGGTGTCAATTTCCTCCTGTGTGGGGCACCACAGAGGAGTGGATGTAATATGTCTTGACCCAGTCATTGTCTAGCCAATACTATTGGACAAGAAGCCTACACTGCATTTGAGCAGTTGCTAGAAAGCGCCACAAAGATGCCCAGCAAAAACAAAGCATGGTAAGTTAAAGTGGGCCCATGAAAAATATAATGCAACTGTTGCAAGATATGTACTGTATACTAAAGTGTGCTGGGACCCTCCACACAGCACTTGTCATGGGATATGTCGACAAAGGGTTTCATTCATGAAATATTATCTAATCATTCAAGATCCCATTTATGATATCTGAACTTTTGTGTGTATTTTGTCATTTAAATTTTCATTGTGCCAACAATATGCATGTTTATTGTGGTAATGTATATGTGGGGTTTTCTGAAAATATTGAATAAACATTATGGAATTCAGGTTAGTTAGTTTGATGCCATTTGAAACAGCATAAATATTCTCTTTATTTACAGCTTGCAGAGCATCCAGACATAATATGTGGAAAGATCATACAGGAGATGAGCAGAGTGATGTTGGAACTTTCCAGTGAAGAAACTGAATCAGAAAGTGTTACTACATCACAGGTGAGAATGCTGCTATTGTTTTTAACTTTATTTGTTAACCATATCCCACTGCCAGATGTTGAAAGCCTCATAAGAAAGATATTAGAAGCTACTTATTGTCCTCCTTCATGGTGATTGGGACTAAATGGTTAAAGACTTTCCATAATTAATATACTTTCCTCATTAATCAGATGAAAACCAATTTTATTAGCGAGTTACTTTTTTTATTTAGATCTTTCATTACAAGTCCTGTATCTGTTGAAAATTTAATATATGATAACTTCCAGACCAACACTTTTCAAGTGCCTGTTGGAGTGCTGTCCCGATTTTTTGTTGTTGTCGGACACGTGGCCTTGCAGCAGCTAATTCATCTTGATACGTTTGTCTTCTCTGAATTAAAGCGCAGGAATTTTCTCAGAGATGAAATGGAGACAGAAAGGAAAAATAAAAGGAAAAGAAAGAACAGAAGAAGGTCTCAAGCAACATCTGCAACTGAAGCATCCAAAGGGGTAGGTGAAACTTTGTAATGTATGTGTGACTATGAACCTTCAGTTATGTCTCTGATAATCACAATACTCACAGAATGTATTGCTTCTGAAGTTAGGCAACTAACTGTAATATATAATGTTTGCTCCATCTTCACTTTAGTAATTCCTTTGAAAGATAGCTGCCTAAAGGTACACCAGGACATACCCTGGTTCACTTGACTCAAACCCATTGGTAATAGACTTAATTCTCAAAAAAAATTTCCTCACATCGTCCTTGCCTCTAGATTATCAATGGTCATCTATTGTTTTTGGGGGAATGTGGTTTTTAGTTGAAGGGGGGGGGGGTCATATGACAACTAACCTCTTCCATCATCAATCTTTGCTGGCTTGGAATTATGTAAGTTGCCTGCTGACATCTTATTTACTGTAAATGGTGGATTGGTGCCTGAAATCATATTTTATAGCAGAGGGAATGAGACCAGAGACTTGTTTCCCCTCTCTTATTTTGTTGCGGTACAGGGTCATCATGAACTGCAAAGGCTGAACAGTCTTACATCTGTAAGAGAGTAATTTGGAATGAGGGATGAACTAGACTTAGTTTCGGGTTGGTGCTTTGGAAGTCTGGCATGGTTTTAGAATTGACCATCAGGTTAGGAGTTCATACATTGCTTCAATCCAGGTTTAATGATCAAGAAGTCATTTACAATACTTTTACTTTGATTTTTAGGCATTTTAACCTGTAACAAGGCTGCTTCAAGCTCTGTGATGAGGGCAGGCAATGAAAGAGTTCTATTGTGTAGACCGCTCATTTCCTACCTTTGAGTATAAAATGGGAGTTCTGCTCCATCTCTCCATTCATTAATAATAGCTTAACCCCTTGTGTATGGGCTCTTCTCTGCTAAATAAAATTGTCTGGTGGTAGCCAAATAAAATATTAGAATTGTCATCTCCATAGTGAAGGGATTAGTAGAGATATAGTTTACTAAGCCCTTGTGTTTGGAGTTCTCTATGTACTGGATAAAATTGTCTGGCAGTAGCCATATGAAATATTAAAAGTGGCATCATCATAGCAAAGGGGTTCATTGTATCAGATCAACATAACAAAATTCATCTTGGACTTAACTTTCCTTTTGTTTTTCAGGGATCACAGGATGGAGATATAGATGAAGAAATGGGACTTACAGGTGCTGTGGCGGATGATATGGAAGCTGAATATGTTCGTTCAATATGTGAGACTGAGATCATCACTGGAGACAATCTCCTAGTTGCACTCAGGTAATTTACTGTATATTGATGATTGATATACACATGATGAGATGGTTCCATTACATTGATCCATTGCCGGGGATTATATAATTTTCAGAGGATCCTTTTGCCATTATCAATAAGGAGCCTAATGATTTTTGGATCACTTATGAAAGGCAAGATCTTGTTAACATTGCCACAGCAGATCGAGAAAGTGTTGTACTATTAATATATACAGTATATTTTTTCTTATTTAATAACTTTTTTGTCTTACAGGCCAATGATTTGGGCAGTGTGTTGTAACCCAAGCAAGTACAGTGATCCCGAGTTACGGACAACAGCAACACTAGCATTAGCCAAATTTATGATGGCTTCATCAGATGCTTGTGAAGAAAATTTACAGGTAAAGTATGTCACAAAACATTTGCATAGAACACACATGGCTGCTGGATGTTTTCCCATCTAGAATTAGAGGGGCAGCTTATTGACTATGTCCATCCTTGGCTAAAATAAACTATAGAAGTTGGAAACAAATATTCATAGCAAATTTCAGATGTGTGTTAAAGTCTGTGGAGGTGCATTTCAAGAGGATGACTGTATAATTCTTAAAGGGGAAAAGCCTTATCTCAAATTATGGCCTAAGGTGGTCATCTCATCTTGTTTCTTCTACCCCCACTTATCCTGGGTCACACAGCAGTTAACTTGTTACTGTATTTATTTATTTAATTTTTTTATATATAATTTTCACATATGCAATATCCACTTCAACAAGAACTTCATAATAAAATCACTTATGGAACCAAATGTTTGGGTTTTACTGTCATCTGCAAGCACGAGATCAAAGATAAGGCACTTAATTCCTCCTAATTTAGACAGTGGGGCTCCCAGTTTAGATGTTCATGAGTATTGTCGGTGTTATTTACATAGCATACCACATTTCAACTCTATCCCAAAAACTGTGGCTGTTCATAGCAAATACAGTAGAAAGAAAAGTAAATGTTTTTAAAGAGGTTTCACCTTTGGGGATGGGAAGGGCTGGCCACTGGGGCTGGTCCCTGCAAATTACAGCCTTTGGGACACTTCTGGAGCATGTGCATCATGCCAAATTTCAGCTATATATTTAAAAAATGTAGCTATGCATAGAAAATGGATAGAGACACACTATTCTTTATGTTTATAGATTTTGTGAAACAGTGCAGAAGTTAATTCAGGGGGAACAACCAGCATTAACCACTAATTATAAACAAAGGACACTAAGAAGACATGAATGACTATGAATTATCTTCACAGCTACTGTTCACTATCTTGGAGAAATCAGAAGAACCTGTGATTCGTGCCAACACCATCATAGCAGCAGGTGATCTGTCCTTTAGGTTCCCCAGTGAGTTGGAACCATGGACCCCACATCTTTATGCCAGGTATAGTACATTCTTTATCATAGTTTAACACTGTTTATCATCTGAAGTAAAAGGATCCAAATGGAAACTTAGATATAAGCATGTCACCACTATTGTTTCATGCTAATTTCATAATGTAAAATTTTCTCACCCTCCAATTTTTAAACAACCGTACTGTACATATATTTAGTGAGAGAGAATAAATTTATTTAGATATACTGTGAACTTCACAATGTGAAAAGGAGAAAACACCATTAATTATATTTAATTTTATAATTCTATGTGGTCATATGTTTGTGTTTCTTGACAGCAGTTAGTGGAGTCCCACCCTCTGGGTCCAACTCCAAGGCAGTAGACAACAGAAAGGATTAGTGCATGCCTCCTGGCATGACACAGATCTCAGAATTTTAGATGGTATGCATGTTCTTCATTTTGTTGAATCATGCATATTGATAAAAAAACCTTTTTTTTTTTACAGATTACGTGATGATTCTCCAAAAGTACGTCAGAACACATTGACCATCCTTACTCACCTCATCTTGAATGACATGATTAAAGTGAAGGGACAGATATCTGACATTGCTCTCTGCATTAATGATGAAGACCCTCGTATATCAGGTAAGAATGTCTTTTGAGTACAGTACAGTAAAGTACAGTACTTAAGATTTTTATTAAAAAGGCAGGGAAGTGGAACAAAAGTTGTACTGAGTTTGTGTGAGTGTGAAAGCAAGATTTGTAACCAGGGAAGAAAATGTCCATTTTTCTGTTTCTGGTAAGGCAGTCAGAATGAATAACTGCAAGTGAGAGTAGAGTTTGTGTAGCTTTTGGTTGTAGACACCTTGGCAATGGTGGGAAAGGGTTAGCATGAGTTGAAAATAATTATGGTATACAAGAAAATTTGACATAATGATATATAGTGAGCCTGATTAGTAAGTTGTGTATTTGAAAGTGTAACCGAACTGTATAGCAATGTTGGAAAAACGTTTGTGAATTTAGGATCATTTTGAATTTTTATTGGATATAATGTCTCCGTTTCTATGTATATCACATCCTCATGTTTTCTTTCATCTTTAACATATAATTTTTTTTTTAATTTGCAGGTCTAGCTAGCCTCTTCTTTAATGAACTTGCAAGAAAAGGCAATGCTTTGTATAATGTGTTGCCTGACATTATTTCTCGTCTGTCTGACGCTGAACTAGGAATAAAAGAACAGCACTTCCGTACAATCATTGGGTAAGATTATAAAATATTACTTGATGTTTTTTTAATAAACTATTTAAGGTTGATTCTGGGAAGCATGCTTATTTGTTTGTCTATTCATCTATTCATGTGTATGGGATTATCACTTACTGAATTAAAAAAACATGAGTGTGCACTAGAACTGCATATTATGACTATGGTTGTTTGTTTTGTATATGGATTATGTAGCATGTAAGAATAGAATAGGTCATTGTAGAGTGTGGTTATTGTATTACTTTAATATAATTTAACTTAAATCCAAAGTCAACACTAAAGAATAGATTTTAATTTCATATTGCCATAAAAGCATTGGTAAAAGTACCTATTTTTACAGCAGTCAAAATTTTAGCATAAAATCTCCCCCATTCTAGGCATGAATTTGATCTGTTGGTTTAGTAACATTTTTCCTGAAAAGAATATTAAGTTGTATAACTTCTTGCTGTCTTTTCAGATATATTTTTTCTTTGATTCAAAAAGACAAGCAGCAAGAGAATCTGGTTGAGAAACTATGCCACCGATTCCAAGCCACAATCAACACACGACAATGGAGGGACATTGCTTACTGTCTCTCTCTTTTGCAGTTTAGGTAAGTAGCTGTCATCATCATTTTACAGCCATTTTCCACACTTGTGTAGGTGAAACACAAGTACCGTTATTAATATCAGTTTGCATGTATTTATTAACCTGAGGAGAACATTATACTGTAGTAGATTCCCATGAAACAGAAAAGGGTCCTTGCTTATTAATGGTATAAAGTTCACTTATCTCGTTTAGATGGTCTCCATGATTTGCATTGCACACAATATTTCCTTCTCTCTTTCCAGTATCATCTGTACATGTATTTTTATTTGTTTTTTACAGTGAAAAAAGTGTTAGAAAACTCGGTGAAAACTTCACCTGTTATGCTGACAAGCTACATGAGAGTGAAGTGTATGAATTCTTTTTGAGTATTTTGGCAAATGCTCAGAAGCAAGCAAAACCTGAAGCCAAATCATTGATAGAAGAGTTAGAGGGGCGTATACAACAGAGCCATGAGAAAGGAGTGGAAGATGAAAATGTTGTGCATAAAGCTTCTAATGCCAGGTCAAAGTTCAAGAAACCCCGTATTACTGGTAAGGAAATTGTCAAATTTTCTTTTATAACTCACACAAAGAATTGGTCTACTCATATACTGTCAGACCCTGCCCAGATCTTCCCTCACATTTCTGTACATGTTTAAAAAGTTCGAAAAATTCTACCAACACATCGAGAAAGTCACTTACGGTGTATGCACTCTGAACACACCACAGTATGGAGTAGAGACAGGACCACGCTCTCCCATCCATTATAGCTCTGTTTAGTTAAGGAACGGTGCATGTGAAAATTGCTCTGTCTATATTTTTTGAAAAAATTTTGTAAATTTTTTTTGGGGGTGTGAATGTTCTGGGATATACCTTAAGTCACACTGCTACCACACCAAAATTACCATAAGCCTTTGATTTATTTTGATGGTTTTCTCATATAAATGGTACTTGTAGTTAAAACCAACTTTATTTGATAAATTAAGTACTATTGTAAAAAAATAAAAAAAAATTAGGAATCTTATTAAATGAACGATGTTCTTGCTTATTAAGACCTCTATCTCCTAAGCAATAATTTCTGTTCTCATCTGTAATTACTCTTCAATTCCAGCATGCGATAGGATATAATAATTTAAGGTAAGAAACTGAGAAATTATTAGAATATTCTTAGAGCTATTGATACCATCTATGAGTTCTGTAGTATGGCAGTGATGACTTATTATTGTTATTATTATTGATTTTCCTATTACTTTTGTTACAGTATATGTATCACTCGTCAGTTTCCTTGTTACAGCCTTCATGATGGTGATACAGGAGAAAACGTTGAGATTTAATTGCTCCCCCCCCCTCTTTCTGTTCCTGTACATGTATCTGTCATTCCAAATATTTCTTTTCCATCCTTCTGCTATATAAAAATGAATAAGAAGGCTGAAGTTTTGAGGAAGGGGTTAATTAAATGAGCCTTTGAAAACAATAGTAAAAAAACTTCTACTTGTTAATGAAATCTAAAAGGGGTAACTTTTTTCCCAGCAGCAACAGCAAAGAGTAGGAGAAGGAGGTATAAAAGCAGTTCAAGTGAAGAGGAAGAGGAGGAAGATGTTCGTGATCAACTGCACCCTGTTCATAGAGAATTCAAAGGTGGGCATTATAGTTTATTTATCCATATCTCTTACATTTGAGTGTTTTTAGCATTGCCTCAAGGGTTAATGTGAGTGACAGTCATTTTCACACACTCAGTTGTAGAACATTATGTAGCAACACATGGTTAATGTAGCAATCACATCATGCAAACAGTTTGAACTGACCACCATCCAAGTTAGATTAGGTGAGGTGAGTGTGTTTGTTTGTGGAAGCTTGGAGGAGTATTTTTAAGTGAGACAGTGAGGTGCTGCCAGCTACCAGATGTATGAGAATTTGATAATTGACCAAAATAATTAGTACCTCTGGAAATTTCTACTTATGGTAGTTACATTTCTCTTGTTTTCAGTTCTTGTATTTGAATAGTTTAGCCATCCTCGTTCGTGGTCTCGACAACGTCATTGATGTGTATACAGTATATCAACTTCACTCTCTCTTGTGTTAATTTTGCCTTATATAATGATGGGTACTATCTTTATTTAAGTGAAATATTTTAATCTCAAAGAATTTGATTATTTCCTTTTACATTACAGCAACAGAGAGAAACTTGAGGAGGTCATCTAGAAGATCCCAATAATTAGGTAACTTATCTATAAAAGCATCTGAAAGAAATTAATAAATAGATAAGGAAATGAAAGTTCCAGTTGCAGTAGCTAATACAGTATAGTAAAACAGTACCTGCAGACATGCCAAGACTACTGCACCATCCCAGCCTCTGAAAATCATTTGCGCCCTTTAAGGTCAGCAAAGCAAAAATAAAAGCTGTTTGTAGGTTGAGTTGGTATAGAGTATTACAGAGGTAATTAATAGCTATGTACAGTAATATGAAAAGCATGAATGGTTATGTTTTGCTTAATTCTATCAAGGATTAATTTTTGGGTGGAAGTGAGTGATAGTACCGTACTGTGTATTAGAAATATGACAGCTTTGCTTCATAACGTGTAAACAGCACCAATGAAATGTTTTTCCTGCAAATAAGATTTTGAATAATGTGAACATGAACAACAAATTAGTTTACTGTAAATTATAAAATATTCTTTAAAATGAAGAGTTGAGGTTTTGAAGCACTGTACCTGTACTGTACAGTATAATGAAAGGAACTTGTTTTAGACTTAAGTATTCATAATATTAGATGTAGAATATATAGTTTTTAGTAAAAGAAATATTTAGTAATACTGTACAGTATAAGATTTTAAGTGAAAGAATATTTAAGAGTGGTGCAGTTAAGAGCTATGGAAGAAATTTAATGAGGGATTTTTTCAGTGAGGATAGTATACATAACTCAAATCAGTTTAAGGAGGGAATAAAGTGAGTGATGGGGCACAGTTATTTATATGAGTATGGATATATGTGACAGTGTTTTAGGATTATGAAGATGAGGATGTCATGAATAAAGCTATATAAGATTTATTGGATATACTATATAGTACAATAATATAATTAATAGGAAACCAAAAATAAGAATTCCAATTACAATAAACCTACTTCTCTATGCTGACCCTAAAGGTGTTTTTAATATATGCAGCTTGTAGAGAAGCCAACTCATGCTGCATGATTGTGCAATTTCTAGTTTTCACTCTTCAGCCACGCAAAATGTACAGAGAGCATATTTATGAGCTGATTAAATATGTACCCCAAACTAAAAATATGAGCAAAGCACACTCACTGATAAAGTACAAGTATTTCATTATATCAACACCACCACCAGAAGGCTGAAAGCCAGAAGTGGAAGATTGATGCTGGAATCCCCTTTCTTGGGTCCCGAATTAGGCAGTTCATACTAAATTAGCAAATGGCGGATTAGCTTGGAATAAATAATGGTGGTCAGTATCCCTGGCATATTGTATGTTGATGTGCAGGCATGGCTCTACAAAGACCTGTCAACCACTGTTACACTAAATCCCCCACATTTGAAGCAGATGTTTGATGAGGGACTGGGTGGGTTTGTGTTAGGATTTAGAACCCACCCAGTTAGCAATCTTGAATTATAACAGCTGCCTGGGTATGGACTCCACCAGATTTTTATTTTGTGTGTGTGTCCATCTTTCTTTCCTTCCTTCCTGCCCCCTCTCGCAAATCATTTTCCACTATTTTGGAGGGTGGCCAGAATCGAGTAAACATTCTCTCTCTTAATTTTCTGTCCCTAATTTACTCTAGCTGTAACTGATATGTTCTGCTGTGGTATTTATTTTCCATAATAAAGGCTCAAAGGTGATATGTTGTACTGTATTTATGAGGTACATCACTGAAGCTTCACACAACCTAGCATCACTGTTAACAATCCCTCCATGTGTTTATTCACACATTTTGTGTATTGACCAGTTAGCCTTGAATTTGTGGTGTACAATGCTGTATGGTTTTTTTTAGATAAAATAGAGCAAATGTGAGGATGAATGTTATAAATATAGCGGGACAACTCTATATGGTAAAACCTCCATTTACCGGACCTCAATGTAACAGGTATAGTCCATTATATTGAGGTTTCACATCCTATGGACCTCAATATAACATATTACACCCCATATAGTCCATTAAATAGAGGTCTCACTGTAATAGAGGCCTTGAATTTTAGTCGATTAATGTATGTAAAGAGAAGGTGCATTAATGATTTATCTTTTCATTTAAGAAATATAACTTTTTAAAACATCAAATTTTGAAATTAGTCTTGCCAAATATAACGAGAAATTGGTACAGTAGTTTTATTGATTGTTACATTGTATAAATTGTTTTATAGTAGAGATCGTGATTATAGGTCAAATGCCGCACGCCCTTATCTATGTTATATTACTGTATAACATTTAATGTAAGGAAAGCAGCAAAATTTGGCACTATCCACCTAAGATCATTAAATCATTATAACAGTACAAGTACTGGATACAAAAATAAAAGATAATTTTCTTTTCCTTAATATTTTTAGTTCAGTAGTTGTATTTCTGTGAAAGATTGGTTTCCATTTGTAGGGTCTTGTGTGCTTGAAATAGTAATAGCCATCTGTCTGTATGCAAGGAATAAATAAATTATATATCATCACTATTTTTTACTTGTTTCCTGTAGGTTATCCTCTTCATATGTGATTGGCATATATAGTCCTATGGGATACTTATTCTAATCTTGGGGTACTTCCAGTCCACCTACTGTAGCTTTAACTAGATACTTACGTTAATAGTTAGGGCAGTTATATACCATGCCAAGTACACTTCTTCCTTGTGTAGTGACGGCTTAGTACTGTTTATAGTTTGCTGTATCCATGCCGTTCCTAAAGAGTCATCAGGCCTTTGGGTCTCCCCTCTCACCACCACAAAAGGAAAGTATCAATTGAAGTGAAATTCACCTAATCACGAAAATTTCCAAATCAAATATTAATGGTGCCATTCCATAGTGAAGGGGTCAAATAGAAGCTTTGCCATAAAATGTTAGTTCAAGACGATTTTCTTCAATACTAATATAGCTGTGCTCCACTTTTCGGTGTTCAATGTATTTTCTAAACATTTTGCAAATACTTTACCAATTCTAGAAATTTGTATACTATATATGAATTGCTCAGTCCCATCAAACACCAATCAACACTACTTCTGGTTGGTGGTGTACAGTACAAATGTACCTGTACTCGTATTTCTACCTATTGCCTTTTTCAGGAGAGTACCCTAGAAACTACCATATAAAACTGGATGTATAAAATATTTTGTGGGTGAGCAATAATTGTATCATTAAAGCTACACACTTAAATGGATTAAGGAAAATATCAGTAAAAATGAAGGCAAGTTCACAAATTCTCACTTTGGTAACTTCAAGATTATATACAGCTTTGTTGGGACATCAAAACATAAACTATCATTTTTCACTTTAATAAAATCACACAAATGAAGCTAAATGTAAGCCTTACTCCTACTATTCACAAACATTGTCATCCATGTCATGACTAAATATCTGCATATAAAATTAATTTATTCCAGGTACTTTTGTGATATTTGGTGCATTAGAGAAAGCATCAAAACAATGAAGGAAATAATTCATTAAATGAATCCATATCAATGTCTAAACTGTGGTCCTCAAATTCATCAGGTGATCCAGTTGACTGCGGTGACAGAACTTCATCAGTTGACCCCAAAGATTGTGGTGATGAAAGTGACTCATAACCAGATTCTGAACCTATGAGAGATGCAGGACTTGCACTAGTTACTTTGTCTTGGAGGAAATCTAAAATTTGCTCCTTACTTATTGGCGACGGTGCTCTCCAAGTAACAGGTTGCTTGGTCCTTCCTGGGCTAGTTTCAGAAACTGGTATGGTTACTGGTGCACTGGTTTTTATGTCAAAATCAAGAAAATCTTTCAAAATGTCTGGAGTGGCTATGTCTTCAGCTTGATCCACCAGTTCATTAACAGATATTGCAATGCCATCTGAAGATATTTGTTTAATATTTGGAGTAGGAACTTCATCCAATGCATTACTCAATTGTGTAATAAGGTCTTCTTCAGCAGGAGTAAGTCTTGCATTCAAATTTTCTTCTGTGGGATATCCTTTGGTATAGTCATGGTCTGCTATGTCCCAGTTGGGTTCCACATTTGCTGTTGTGAGCCCCACCATTTGAGGCCAGCTGGTCTCTTCTTCACTGGCAGGGAGTATGTGGGATGTTTGTTTGATGATGGAGTTTGATTGATCTTTGAAGAATTGTGTATCATTGTGTTCATTACAAGACTCAAGGCTGCTGTGGTTATCCACTGGGAGCAGAGTGTAGAGAGCACCATGATCCTCATTACTGCCCATGCTCCGACTGCCCGCTGCAGGGGTAAGGATACTGCTGATCCATCAGTTGGGGCATCGACAGGGATCATGACTCCCTCCAACACATCTGTACTTTGTGGTTCACTGTCATTCGTCTTGCAATCCATTTCAACACTTGTTTTATCTTGACATGTACACCTGGCCAACATCTCTTGTAGGGCTGCATTGTTTTCTACAAGTTGTGTATTCTGTTCTGTGAGCACTGAAGTTAGGTCTGTCAATTCTGAAATATGATCACTCATCTCTGCTAACTGAGCTTCTAGCTGATCCATACGCATCTTCTTCCTGTCTCGGGCTGTCTGTGCTGCCACCCTGTTCTTCAACTTCCTGCAAGAAGTTATAATTGTAATTTTCGTTAAAATTTCCCATTGGTACAAAGAAATGCTTTTTTATTAAAAGGCACGGAAGAAAGAAGACATGATAAGTGTCAATTTATGTGACAATCATTAACAGAAAATAGTGACTAATGTATGTAGTTACAAAGATAATATGGATAGCAAGATGGGTGAATAGACTGAAATACTCCTGTACTATTTAAGAAATCCAAGATAACATGCATAGCTGTATGATTATATACACTGTATTCCTCATTTCTATAACCCATCATCCTAGGCAAACTAATCAAACCACTTTTGAGAGATCTCTATCTCCCCCTGTAAGACCAAACAAAAATAGTGTCCAGTTTCCCATCCCAAACCCCTCCTTTTGTAATTGAATAAACAAATAAATCAGGACAGTCATGACAAAACTTGCATACTCTAAACTAACCTAGACACCCTGTGTTTTCAAAAGTAAAAAAACGAAATTAACAATCCATTTCATTCAGCATTTACCATTACAATGCAGAATTTTTCAGTGGGTGAACCTAATGTAACCAATCAAAACAAAGAATCATAATACAGTAAGCAGTAAAGACGAAGTTGCAATGAATGAATTAAATACAGTATACAATGGCCACACAGCCTGAGAATATGATGTAGTGGATATTTTGCCGTGACTGGTTAAGTTCCTACTAACACTATTTTACTGAGGGTACGCTTTATGTTTAATATGACGGGAGGTCCGCCCCAGTGGATAGGAAGTTAGATAAGGTTTGGTTGGTTAGGTCAGGTACTAGTAAATGTCACCTCTTATTACATTAAGTTTCCATGCACAACAGAATTATGGTCAGGTATAATTATAGCTACAAAACAATCGACTCGCAGCAAAATAAATGTTAAATGCGTCCCAAGTCACAACCCAATATAGTTCTCGCTTGGTTCGCCGATAATGGACGATTAGCCAATCAGAGCGCACTCACGGTAATTAAGCGTTAGTTGGAACTTAACCAGTCACGGCAAAATATCCACTGCCAGAATAATAATATTTATTGTATAAAATTGCCATAAATTTTTACAGTTGGATAAGCATGTATATAATCTAAGCAGCTGTACAGTTCACCATGAATATAGGTAAACCGTGGGAGTATACAGTGTGCTGAGGCCGTGCATGTAAACAACAATAGTAAGCAATAAGGCAACTTGACCAAGTCCACCCCTCAAAGCTAATGGCATTAGTGGTGAATTTACGATATTGCAAATATGCAGTTGTAGACAAGACTACCTTAAGTGTGTGGGGGCGGTCCGACTAATTATCCAAACCACCTGCTTACAAGATTCACAATACCAACCATTGGCATCACAATGATACATATGGTCGCTGGAATGCAGTGCCACATTTAATATTCCACAAAGATCAATAACCAGATACAACAAATTCTTACCTTCTCATTATTTTCTCCTCGATACTAAGATGATCAAGCCTCTGCCTCTTCCTTGGGGGTTTGCTCAAGTCATCCATCATCTCGTCTGAAGGTTCGTTCTTGATAACATGGACAAAGTTCCCTGGCAGTAATGACATCTGTTTGGTGCCAGCTGTTGGGTTAGCTGGCACTATCACCCTGCCACCTGGAGTCAGATGTTTAGGTAATGTGATAACTATTGTCTTGGTCGCCGTCATCTTGAGTGTAGTATTCCGTACAGTATTACCACTTGAAAGGCTCTACACGCCCGACATAGAGGAGTACAGATACTGCGTCAAGTTCTTAGCTTTCTCACATCATGCCTTCCCTTGTGTGTCTCACCGCGTCCACTGTGAGGAAGCTGGTGTGTCTCACGGGGATTGGCTGGCTGCTGTGGTGCTGCCTCAATGATCTTTACCAAATAATTAAATATCACCGTAAATCAAGCCATTTGGTGTTTACATTTATCTTTATATTGTATTGACTTTAAGGAACTTTACATAGGAATGATTTTTTTTTGTTTTCATGAGTTAATATTATATTTTTGTATTTAGGATGTTAGAAGTTGATGGTAAGGTTTCTCTTTTGCGTCACTGTGACGTTATTCTGCCAACACGACACTCCCTAAAAAGTCCAAATATTTGTATTACTTCAACAATTTCTACATTCATGAAATTAAATTCATACGTACTGATATTTGGCTACTAACTTGGAATGATATTTACACTAATAATGGTTTAAAACATGTAACAAAATTTTCCTGATTCAGAATCTAATACGGCTGATGCAACACGGCCAGAATGTCTGTCACTTCCCTTGTATATACGTGTATGTATGTATATATTTATTCAAGATAACTCTATCATTTACGATGCTAAGGTGTACTTTGTCCAATATTTATTCACTAAATGTTTGACGATTTTATCCAAACGATCAAATTTATGTTTATACTGTATATTCTACCTAAATTGCGTCATGCATTATTGATAACTTCCGGGGGTTGTTGCGTTGTGTGTTTCATAAAATTGTAAAGCATCCCCCTTAAAGAAAGGTGAACATATCTAGGATTCCATTCAAGCCTTAGCGGTTGAGTTAGCGTTGGGTGTTAGCAGTACATGTCAATCACTCCCTGTAACCTCCAAGCCCTGTCCACATTGGTAAGAAAGGTCATAGCTCATTAATTAAGCCTTTCCCCAAGCTGTCATTATCACTAATATATTCAGCAAGCAAAACTGCTCCAGGAAAATGCTTAGAAAGATACTTTTGTTTCCCCCAGTGATTTATGAATGAATTTAAATGGCGGAAGAGGAGTACTACTGAGAGTAAACTTTAAAAATGGCCTAGTTGTGTTGTTTAAAAGGACACATTTTGTTGTAAGTTTTGATCTGTTTTAGTAAATTTGTGTTTACTATAGTGTTAATACATAATATTAAAGACGTTTGTAATAGACGGGATTGAATTACTGAATAATAGAACAAATGACATTGATTTTATGCCTTTGTTATTGAATGAAGACCAATTTTAAAATATTAATTTGTTATGAAAAATTCTGGCGTGACATGACTCAGCATTTCGATATATATATATATATATATATATATATATATATATATATATATATATATATATATATATATATATATATATATATATATATATTACATTTTTTTACACTGATTACTTTCAGTTCTATTCATTTTCTTGTGAAATGCTTAGTTTTCTTGATATAGGCGAGTTAAATATAGGTTAGGTTAGCACATGATTTTAGCTATTTTTATATTTTTCTCCAACATAGTACAGTATCTTCTAGTAAAGTAAGTGAAAACTGGGTATTTTTAAACCCAATTTCAATAAAAAACAGCGGATGGTCATTATCCGAATAATTACCAAATTTCTTTACATATAATTTAAACACATTTGGATAATAACTGAAGGTAATATAAAAATGTTCAAGGAAGCTTTATGGTGCTGGCAGCTTTCTGTTGATGTAAAGTCTTTAAATACAAGATTATGAGAACTAACAATTTAGGTTTTGATGTAATTATTCAGAATGTTTTTTTCTTACTAACACCAGAAGGATTTGTTAGAAATGGATGAAACATTGAGGAAACATTAATTACAATCTATTAAACAGATAAATGAAAACTAGAATCCATTCAGTGTTAGTTATGTTTTAAAAGGTTTTTCTCTTAAGTTAGGTACTGTAGTTTACTTTCGGTAAGATTGATTAGGTCAAGTTCCAATAAGTTCTGTGCATTCTCATTTTTCTTTATCTATTTAATAAACTGTCAAGAATTTCCATTAAGTTTCGTCCAGTTTTATGAACTCTTTCTGGTAGTAGTCTAAGAAAACTATCTAACCTGACCAATATCCACAGCCTATTGTTATTTGAGGAACTGACAGCTTCAAGTAACATGTACTGCAGGTTTGTCTTGATTCATTGTGTGTGTTGATGCCCGTGACATAATGGACGTATTTTTCAGATCTTGTGGTGATGCTGAAGCTTGGATGACATGGCTTTGGCTTCTCTGGTGGATGTCTTCATCACCAGTGTAAGATGCCATAACAAGGGTCTGTTACATCCACCTGTCCCATATTTAATATTTTACTGCATTATTCACCCTTGATACAAACCCTGACTGACTGACTAACTGACTGACTAACTGACTGAGTTAGGCAAAGAATTTTACTCCCTTGCTACCTTACTGTGGGCTCCTCACTGGTGCCTGTGCTGCTCTCCACAGATGATGCTAATGTGATCAGTTGTACATATGTGACTGTACTGCACCATGTTTAATTATTTTTAAACATGTGGCAGGTCTGATCTTGATGAAATATCTGGTACAGTATTGGTGGATGTGGTTTACAGTTGTAGCCAAATCATTTGATATACAGATATTTGAGGCTATTGTACATTTTTACATTTCCTAAAGGCTTATAATTATAACCTTTGTCTTTAATTATGTCATTCTCTTTTCTAACAATTCCAGACATATGCTGATATTCTTGATTTATTTCTATATTTGTGCTTTTTCAAAATAACTTAGAAATTTCAGGAATTTTATTTGTATCCCCTGAAAATTCCCCACAGCTCATTAAACCATTGTAATTTTGACCTTCAGGTGATGTCTGCTGAGGGGGAAATCTTCAGGTGATCTTTTTAATACTGTACTGTACTGCACTGCACTGTTCTGCACTGCACTGTACTGCACTTTACTGTACTGAACTGTACCTTTCATGTCCAGTTTCATGAATTTTGTACCTAGCAGTGTTGTTGGCACATGCCCTGGTTATAAACCAAATGTCATGTTCTCATTTGATTTGATTTATTTTATTATATTTATTATTTTTTCAACAGGATGGCAAGTTATTCAGGCTGTCGGAATGATTCTGCCATTGAACTGTCATATTCAGTTCACACCATTTGCTCAATGGCTTTTATATTAACAAGCTGTGACTGTCGTGATCCATCTAGTTAATGGATGAGTGAACTTTGTTAGTACATATTGCTTCTACTTAAACCATGTGAACTTTGTGCTCTGTCTTTAAAATGTGTGAACAAACTTTGTGAATGTTACTTTCAGTCCACCTGCCCCCAGCCAGGGTTACCCTGCCATCTTTGTTGTAGGGTTTACTCTTGCCAGGCCAAGAGGTGCTGTAGTTCTGGGGAAGTTTATAGCAATGATTACAGTACAGTATATAGTATGTATTAAATTTCTTAGAAGTTAAATTGTGTATATTAGTAGAATGCTGTAGTGTCTGCATGATTTAGTATGTATAATATACATTACTGTACTACATGTATTTTCCTCTGAAAGTACAGTATAGTACAGGTACACCACCAATTTTCCGGCACCCTTGGTTCCAAATCCTTGCCGGATCATCCATTTTGCCGGACCAACCGAGGTCACGTAATAATAATTCAATGATACACCTCTGACCCACTAATTATACACCTCCCATGTCTCTAATGCACCATGAACTGCTAGAAACTTAAATTAAATAAATATTAAATGTAAATTAAATGTGAACTAAATAATTTAATGTAATACATTAATATAAATACTGTAATACAATAGTACAGGTTTATTAGTACTGTACAGTATAAATGAAACAGGTTTAATAATTACTGTACATTATACTTACAAAGAATGCTGCTGTACTACTGTTCCCAAAGTGGCAATTTTTTTTATTTTACTGGAACTGTAGAGCTAATCACAAAGGTCTAGAAGTTGAGGGCAACACCATATGTGGCCACCCAGTAAACTAGTCTGGCAGTCACAGGAATTTCAAGTGTCTTCTTGTAATTTTGTTTGGACTAAATGAGGTGGCAGACCATCAGTTCTCGGAAAATCGGTGGTGTACCTGTACATTGAAAGGCCTTCTTAACTTGTGTAGTTGACATTATTTAATACATTACTGTAGTTGTACTGTATTAGTTGTAGGGTTTACAATTTAGGATTACCCTGTAGTAGTTTGTGCCTGTACTGTACATGTCTTCTTGTTTGTATAATGTGAGTTTTGTCAGGTTGAGTAACAGTTTGTGCCAATGTTGTTGGTGTGGATGTATACAGTATGTGGTAAATGTGACCTTTGAATATAATTGTGCTGAAATGTTGTGTATAATATTCTGAATGCTGGAGCCAGTACATGTGTTATGTTGATGTGTTGTGCATGTCTGTTCATGAGAGATTAAGGTCTACAAATGAATGGCTGTCATGTCTTGTATGTGATAATTGTCTTTCATATTTTATCTCAAATTGAAAAAAGAAAAACTATAAATAAAACTGAAAATATTCTGCTCAATAGGATTCCAATATTCTTAAACTCAAACTTCTTCATTTCAGAAGGACTCCTGAATGACTGTGTCTCTGATGCCCAACAAAAAACAGAGGCAGCCGAGAGGGCCGCTATAGGACTGACTACCTGGATTAATTGCAAAACAGTGAATGCAGATAACTCTCTCCCCATAAGTTTGCGAGTTATTGGAGTTGTTTTCTTCATCTACAGATTTAATTCATCATGGTACAATATTGTCTGGGGTTTCAGGTGCAATAAAGTCATCACCCTGCATAGTCCCCTTGGCAGGACATAATGATCCTTGAAGCTGGGGTTTAGTGCATAAAACTGTATACTGTACTAATATGAAGCAATGGGGGTAAATGAGATGGATATCACTAGGTCTTGTTGTGGATTAAATCATAAAATTATTCTGAATTTGAATGCTATTTGTAAGCCAAAGTGTTTTACAGAGGACATGGGAGTCCTGGTTGGGGCCCTGATGGGGGCCCTGGGATGTTGTGTCATGGACCAAGTGGATATATCTTCAGCAACAGGTCAGTGGCCCACTTGTCTTATGACTTGCCCTC